GAGATAGAAAACGTTGAACTTTAGTGATATTTCTCAAACGATAAAAAGCTACTTTAGTGATTGTGTTTACATTCAGGATAAAACAGAGTTCAGAGTCTAAGACCAGACCCAAGTTTCTTACTTCAGGTTTGGTATATGAAAATAAATAACCAAGTTTCTTATAAAGCATTTTTCTCTGAGTCTCTGTACCAATGATCAGTATTTCTTTTTTTTCGTGATTTAATTGTAGAAAATTTTGTGACATCCACTGAGAATATCTAACACATAGCTTTTCAGTCTGTCTACAGAGTCTTGATCATCAGAAGGAATGGAAATGTATAACTGGGTGTCATCAGCATAGCTATGAAAATTTGTATTATATTTCCTAATTACATTACCTAGAGGTAGCGTGTCCAAAGAGAAAATCAAAGGCCCTACAACTGAACCTTGAGGGACTCCATAAGAAATGCCAAATCTTTATGATGAATGATTTCCCATTGAAACCATGAACTGCCTATAACTTAAATATGATTTAAACCATTCTAAAACTGTGCCTGAGAGGCCGAGGCCCAGCATTCTAGATGTTGGATTAAAATCTTGTGGTCAGTGGTATTAAAAGTTGCACCAAGATCTAATAAAACCAGAATTGAAGGTTTTTGTGCATCAGCGCTGAGCCTGAGGTCATTTACAACACCAACCAATGCTGTCTCAGTACTATGGTTAGAACGAAAACCTGACTGAAACTTCTCATATAACTTGTTTGATATTAGATACCCATTTAGTTGTTTGAAAACAACTTTTACTAAGACTACTTTTACTACTACTTAAAAAAGGTGAGTTCGAAATTGGTCTAAAATTATTTAGTATGGAAGGATCCATGCCACTCTTTTTTAGGAGAGGCTTCACCAAGGAAGTGTCTGGAAAAACACCTGTTGACAGAGAACAATTAACAATAGTTAAAACATCACTTTGAACACAATCAAAAAACCTCTTAAGGAATAAAGTAGGAGCAGGGTCAAGATCACATGTGGACAAACTTAGCTTGTTTACAACAGTTGTAAGTAATTACAGTAGTTACTGACGTAGGTGGCTTATCAGGAACATTATAGGAACTTGTTTCAGCCTCAGGTCAATTTTATTTTGAAAATGAATTGTGAACTCTTCACAAATTTTAGAAGAAAAGATTTAGTAACCAGCATCTGGGTTCATGCGTTTTCACAGTAGCTATAAGATGCAATTTCTGCCTGTTTTTGAGGTCCTTCAGTTGAACTACAGTGATACTAATACATTTGAACACCATTGTTTTATTGATTTTCTAATTGAAACAAAGTTAATAAATCCTCTCCAGTAGCAGTTCTCAGACTTTATTAGTCTAAAGCCCCCTTTGTGGATATTAATAACTCTAATAATCATTTTCGACACCAGCTGTTTTTAGATATGCCTGAAGCAGATTTAATAAACTGACAAAATTACTAATTAGAGAAGCAACTTCTAAGATTTTTTTTTTAGGAAACACTGCTCTACAGAGCACTTGGCAGTTTCTATTTATTTGCTGACTTTAACATATTAGAAAAAAAGTTACTTATAAAATATAAAATGTGCCATAACTTTTTACATTTAATTTTTTCCCAATATGTTAAATTCAGTAAATACTTATTTACCCTTTGAAAATACACAAAACATGGAATTTGAATGTGATGCCCAAACTTTTGCTTATAATTGTATGCATTTTTTGCTCGCTAGCAGCTCAACAAAGTCACAACATTTCACACACAGAGGACCGACAGCGTCCATGTTCATCTCATAACAGAGTTACATAGGAATCATCTCATTTTTATATCTATTAATTAAATAAATTCAATCGAGTTCCATTATACTGATCTGTAGGGACCTGCAGAAAGAGGCTACAAAACAACCAGTAGTCTATTAAAAAAATAAAACACATAAAGCTCTGACAACAGTAAAATAATAGACAACAATCTGAACATGTACTGTATATAATGATTGAATATTAGTGGAATGTCCATCCTCTGCCAAACACTAACAAAATGACAAAAGCCCCCCAAAAAATTATCATTAGGTTGAATGGGATTTTTACCAATGCTGTGTGAAGCTTGCTCAAATTGGCAGCTATTAAAGGACACATTTGAGGGCTGAGCACGGACGGGTCAGTTGTTTGCTTTTTCAGACACTGTCCTCTTTCAATAAGTACCATAATACAGCAGCATAATACCATTTTAGGTCAAATTTACAAATGCAGCTGTGCATAATGTCTTGGTTGGAAGTCCTTCCTCTTTTCAGAGCCCATTTTTTTTTGTGCATGCAGTTTTACAGGCTTAAACTCCAGCAGGGCATCCTGAAGCACATTTGTGTCTCAGACTGAACTGACTGTGACTAACCTGAATATTTTGGTCAGGTCTGCCCTCCATGCTCACCGAGCATGTGTAATCGGAGTGCAGCGTGACTGTGATGTACAAGCGTGCAGACTGATAGAATGATCTCTGCCCATAATAAGGCTCTGTGAAGACGGTGCTAGAGGACATCATTATGGGCCCCTGTTTGGTCCAGAAGATATATTTTCAAAAAGTGCTGGAAAAGTCAACATGAAGCTGTCTGGAACTGACAGTGACAGACATGGATTTCAGTCATTTCGGACATGCTGGAGAAGAAAATTAAAGCTCACAGCTGACATACAGCACGAACACCATCCTCTGTTCATAAGTAGCACTGGCACGGTGCAGGTACCAGTGTTCTTACAATTTGTCCTACCCCTTTGAGAGATTCTACTTAGTACTACTATTCCCTGATGAGGTGATTATTATTATTATTCTTTTTATGCTGGTATTTTTTTCTGAAAGGCAGATTTACACTATCAGATTATCCTACCTATATATTTCAGTGCTGGTAGCATTTTCTTATAATTTAGGCCATCAAAATACTTTACCTACAGACTTCTGTTGAGTGCTACCTAAAAATATGCGCTGCAGTAGGACATTTCGACAAGGTAGCTCAATTCATCAGAACATCGTTGCCAAAATCTCGAAACCATTCTGTGCTTTTCCACTGCAAACACACTGGTTCTAGGCTGGCAGAATCGTTGCTGTCAGCCCCATAAACTTGCTGGTCTAGAACCAAGGAACCCATTACACAAGTGGCAAAAGGGCATGGCACTGCCATCACCATGTAAAGTTGTTGACACTGCCATTTCCCAAAAAAACAGGAGATTGATGAGAGAAAATGGTGAAGGCAGCAGGAAAATAAATCATCAGTGGCCTGTGAGAGAAACCAACATGTTACTTGCGATTTGGTTTTCACAAGAAATACAAGACAAATTGGAAGGCCAAGGTGTACAAGAAAATACAACAGGAGATGCTCAAAGTCTGATTCAGCAGCACATCAAAGCAAATTATAAAAAACTTAAAAAGGACTTCTGTTTCCAGGCTAGGGAACACCCATATCCAGATAGGTAATGGCTTGGATCTCAAACCATTGAAAACAGTGGCCCATTCTTAAAGGATTTGGGAGAATTTCCTGGGAAGAAGCACCAGCTCTGGCATGAACACCAGCACATAGAAGTAAAGAAGTAAAGAAAGCCTGCATGTTTACATTACAGCATATGAAGTACATAACGTGCTTGGAAATGGAGACAGAAAACATGCTTGCTAAAACAGTGCTGTACTCCTGTCTGTTCTTCTCTAAAGCTGTTTTCAAATTCACAATGGAGAATTTACAGTACGCTGTCTGTTCAGCTTCAAAGAAATGACATCTTTACTAGTTTCCTCTCCTCAGTACTGCGCAGACTGCATTAATTTCACTTGGAGATGTAGTAGTAATGTAAAAGAACAGAGTATCTCTGTTATTGAGGTGGCTTTTACATACTGTAAAACAATGTGTCCATTGACATGTTAGCAAGTTTTCAGGAGTTTTCAGGATTTTCTTAGACCAAAGTTGTACTAGCCTGAGAATTCCAAACAGTTAACAATACACAGTACAATATAGTACACAATACAGCTACAGTTGAAGCCAAACATTTACATACATCTAAGCTAAAGAAATTCAAGTTTAATTTTTTTTACAACTCCACACATTTCACGCTGCCATACATCTCTCTGAGGTCATTTTAAAACAATTAGAGACTTGTTTCAGGTTTTATTCTCTACATCAGATTTCCAGTGGGTCAAACCAGTGGGTACACCAAGTTATCTCTTAAAACAGTTTGGTGTAATGACTTTTAGAAGGTTATGGTTGGCCAACTGTCAAAATTAGGACTACCCCATGGCTATATTTAAGGGCTCACCTTTACTGCTAGTGTCTTTCGGCCCTGTATACAATGGGAAACTTCCCAGCCAAGACCTCCACAAGTGCGGCTCCTCCTTAGGAGTTATTTCCAAACAACTGAAGGAACCCCAAGCTTTTGTACAAAAAATTGTACAGAAATATAAAAATCCTGGCACCAGACACACACTGCTTCAGGAAGGAGGCACAGATTACCTCCAAGGGCTGAACAATATTTGGCCTTAAAGGTGTAACTGAACCACAAGACAACAACAAATGAACTAGTGAATGAGTTAGAGGCATCAAGTAATAAAGCATCTACATTCACTATTAAGAAGCTTCTATATCACCATGTCCCAAAAGGCTGCCATGCTAAGAAGAAGCTCTGGCATAAAAAAGCTAGACTGAAGTTTGTAGGTGATCACCAAGATACAGACTTACCCTTTGGAAGAGTGTTTTCCATTCAGGTAAAATTGAAAAAAGAAAACCACCCTAACTGTGAAGCATGGCAGTGGCAGTGTCATGTTGTGGGGTTTTGCTGAACGAGTACACTTCAGAAAATTGGTATCATAGCAATTATTTTGAAATCACCTCTTCTGGAAATAAAGTACTTACCCCAACTGACTTGACACAGGAAACAAATGGTACCATGAAATGTGTGTGGAGTTTTAATATCTTTAGCCTGGGTGTTTGTAAACATTTGGCCTCAACTGTTTATCAAAATGCAAAAAAAGTATGTTAGGAGAATGTAATTTAACAAAATTTATTGAAACATTAATCAGCATACAAAACATGATGACACTTTCAAATGAGCAGGTCAATGTCAGTGGTACCTTAGTTAAAGCCAGACACAAATATCACACATCCTGAAAACCTGTTTAGCACAGCTGAATTAAAAGATATCAGTAGGCTAAAAGAAACTACATGCATAAGGGCAGCAAAATATAATCTCTCGTCAGCTCAAGTTTTGCTTTACAGTATCCAGTGTCCAGACAGGAGTGTCAAACCGCAGTCCTGAACTTCCACAGCGCTGTGGAGTTTATACTCTTCCATGCTTTAACACATCAAGGCCAAACACATGAAGGTAATGGATTAAAGAAGGGACGATAATGATTCATGAACTTTAAAAAGTAAGCTATATTAAGTGAGCTGTATTAGTTCTACATGTATTCTATAACATAAATGACTTTTTTGTGATTTTGTAGTTATAGGTGACTCTTTTTAGCCAGGAGAGATGATGCAGTTTTTTTAAATATAACATTATAACATTTTGTATATACAGCCAGCTCTATAATTATTGTCACCCTTGGAAAAGAAGGTCATGAAAAATGTTTGTATGGTTAATTAGCGGAATTTCACATTGAAAACATCAACACTGAAAAATCTAACCTTTAACTGAAGTAAATTTAGTTTAGTTTAGTCCTAGGTCCTCTCCTATATCTTGCATGTTAATTATATACTTAGGATGACCACAGGAAAGACACTAACCCACCTGTGTTGTGGGCCTCTGGACTGCAATTTGACACATGCAGTCTACACAACATCATAGAGACATTTCAGACATGAAACACCAACATCATACATCACATCAAACAGAATAAAAAAGAGGCAAAATCACAGTGTCAGGCAGTCTGAGTAACCTGTAATAAGAAGGGGATCCCCTTCTTATACAGTAGCCATATACCCCCCAGCTCCACCCATGCAAAAGACCCTCTACACTTTTAACCAATCAAAAGCACTTCATTTTTGACATTAAGTAGGTGGTTAACAAGACTTTTTAGGTGTTTTAAAAATTGAAAATGTACATTGAACTTGTTAAAGGCAACTAGAACGTCAGTCATAGAATATGATATCAAAAAAATATTCATTTGTTTTGTATATATGCACTTGCAAGTTATTGTCATTGGAGTAGTGCAGTACCAACCATAATTTCTACCGGCATTGAGGGTTGGGACCCAAAACCAGAAGTGCAGTCTCGTCCAAAGCAGTGGGCGCTCTGTTCGTAATTTTTAGCAAGACTAGCCAAGCTAGCAAATGCACTACAGGGTATAATTATATGCATTTTCAGGATACCATTTAGGCACATTGAGGATTATTAAGTACTTCTGGTGTTAGTCGGCAAGCAATCAGTGATAAGGCTAAATGTGCTGTGATCCTTTTGTGGGTTAAATCCACTCCCTAGAGCCAGTGAGTTAACAAATAAGCTGTCAATTAGGCTTGCTAGTTAGCTAACCTAGCCACATGCATTAAACCAGAAGTCTACGGTCTCACTGACTTTTCAATTTGTAAAAGTCTTTCAAACTGTTCAATCCAGATCTCTTCATCTGTGCTTTCCTTTTAGAAATGGGTATATTTTACTCCAAACACTTGGCACATTGGGATTCTGATTTACTGCTCTAGCCACAGCACATTGTAAAGTCCTGAAAGCTTGTTATGTCTAGGTATTGGCCTAGTTACCATTGCTAAGCTATGACTGGACAACCGGTATTTGGGGGAAGGGTTACCCAAGGTCCCAACTGTAGAACCGTAGAAGGTTTTGATTTCAGTCATTCAAAACTGTCAGCATCAATTCAATACTTCGTTTTCAATATTTCACAATGACAATAACGTGTGGTACAACTTAATTACTTTACTCTGCTAGCTAGATAGCTAAAAGCAACACATCTAGCTAACAAAAAATAAATAAAAGCACAACACCGCAGCTCTAAAGCAAAGCTTTTAGTCAAACAAAGCAATTATTCATAAAATCTATGTACGTTACATTCAGACTTCTCAAAGAAAACATTCTGCATTATAAAGTTTGCATGGCTAGCTGATTAGCTCACTGTGGCTAACTAGCCATGAGTGAGTGTGTTATGCTCCTTGTTGTGGCTTTTCCCTACTCAAGCTAAGAGTGGCTACTTGTGTAATGTAGTTGTGATGCATTTCCAAGTGGCGAGGTGAATTTTGAAGGTCATGTCAAAAAAGTATTGAAAAGAATAATATGAAGAAAAGTTTCTTTATCATATCCAATATTTTACCTCTTTTATCTATGCTTTCTTTAACTACAATGAAATTTTTGTTGTATAAGATCAAACAACTTTACGCAGGGTTGAAAATGGATTGCTATTTCTACAGATTTGCTATTTCTACTAGATTTCTTTAGTAAAAGTTCCACTGCCCCCTAGTGCACAAATATGTGCAAGTATGCCAGCAGGCACTTCTATAAAATGTGCACAATATTAGCACATATTCGCAGATTCACAGATGTAGAAGTTTCACTCGACCCAAACACTCACAATGAGGGGGGGGGTATGTTTGTCCCTGAGAGCGCCCCCTGGTGTCAGGCCTGTTAGGAGCTTTGTGCTCCTTCTCCGATGCTCCGGTAAGTCTGTGGTGAGTTTTCTGCTAAAGGTGACTCCGCTAAGGGGAACAGTGCTGGCCTGGTCTTCACTGGCCTGCGCAGGAAGCGACCCGATGTTACCAAGTCACCATAGCCACGAGCGTGGGAGAAGGCGTAACCAGAGCGACGGGTGCTGATGCGTCGCCGTGGGAACCGGCGAGGAGGAGGAGGGAGCACTGCTTTAGCCTGCCTCACTTTATAGCGCACCTAAACAGAGGAGAGGGCATGGGAGAAGAAAGGAGGAGAGGACAGGGGAGGAGAAGAGAAGAGAAGAGAAGAGAAGAGAAGAGAAGAGAAGAGAAGGAAAAATAAGAGGAGTGGAGAGAAGCAGAGAAAAGAGGAGAAAAGAAGAGGAAGGAGAGGAAGGGAAAGGAGAGAGGAGATAAAAAGGGTTGAGAGGAGAAGAGAGAAGACAAGAAGGGAGAGAAGAATGGAGGAGAGGGTGGGAGAAAAGAGGAGAAAGGTTGAAGGAGGAGAAAAAGGAGAAGAGAGGAGAAGAGGTCAGAATAGTAGAAATAAAGCAGAGAAGAGGAAAGGAAGGGTGGGAGGGAAAAGCATTAAGTTTGTGCAAAATTGGAGGGAAGCATAATAGACTGTGAGATTTGTGTTATGGCACACTATCAAAAAATTAATAAATACAACTGAAAGAGTTCAAATGTAAATGTAAAAGCAGAGAGATGTTTAGTTGTGAATGAGTGCAGGTCATAAGACTGTGACTGCAATCAGCCTGCTGCCAGAAATAACTCTGCTGATATGAGTCAGCACAGAGCCCTCCTACTGCTCCAACACTGCACCGCACACACACACACACACACACACACACTGCATCTTACATCTGTCTCTCAGATATATATAAGACAGAGTCCACCTTTCATTTATTTAATTTCCAGTCACAATGACCATCAAGTTTTTCATTTTAAACCTCAGGGAAAAAAAATAAAAAATTAAACAGAAGCCTGAAAATTGAACAGAAGCATGAACAACTTAATATAATATCAGATTTAGTGTGTCCAGTCTTTGCCTTTATTACAGCTTCCATTCTGTTTAGTTTCTTGCCTTTAGATTTTAGAAATCTGCAGGGATATTTTTCCACACCTCCAGAGTTCAGTCTTAGAAGTTGGTTTTGCATTTTCTGATTTTCAAGCCCAAACACATTCAGTGATGTTGAGGCTTGGATTCTGGGGTGGCCAGAGTTTGATTTGCAAATGTTGTTCTTTTTGTGTCTATTTCCGTTTTTGGTGGTCTACCAGGTCTCCCAGGTGGTTGTTAGGAGTCCCATTTTCTCTGATCTTTTAATCAGTTTTTTAACTCCAGTTTTGGAAAATCATGTTTTTTCACTTATTTTTCCTTTACTTTCCTCTTTCTTATGCAAGTGGATCATCTAATATCTAATGAAAGTAAATAACTTGTACTTAATGGCCCTTTTGACTGGACAGTAAATAAACAAAGGATGGTCTCTGTATATGTTTTTTTGTGTTCTGATCTACCTTGTCGTTAACGGTCGGTTGGAGCTGAATGAGCAGAAATCTAAAGGCCACAACAGGCAGCACACACAGGAGGGCAGTCAGGAAGATGGTCAGCCAGACGTTGGGCTGGTTCAGAGAGTTCCTTGCAGTACCTGATTTACACAAACGGACACTGATCAATGTTAGAGCTTTAATGGAAGTGATAACCAAAATGATAACATGACCATCAGTGAACCAAGCCTAGTGCAGGTCAGTTGACCTATTCATCTAGCAACCAGAGGTGACAGATCACTCTTCATAGTAGTTTATAACCCCTTTTCAGTTCTTCCACCTGTTTTTGGAGGTTATTCAGCTACAGCACTAAGCACTTTTTTACCTTCAATAACATTGACAGACTATACTTTGATGGAAATGTGTATGATTCACAAACCAGAAATAGATTTTTGCTTTTGTAGGTAAGCAAGCAAGTCAGCATTTATAAGTGTTTAAATGCTAGTTTTTATTGTGTCCATTGTACAGCCTTGTTTGATACAAAGAAAGCTGCAGTTGGCGTGAATTGTTTTCACAGCAGGGGGTTCTGACCCCTCCCCTTTCACAACTCATTGCTCACTAGCAGCTCAACATAGTTGCACACTCAGTGTGACAGAAACAGTATTCTAGCTCATCTGATATTACAGTTACAATTTCCATTTATTGAATGGCCACTAATGCAGGGGTTCTCAACTTTTCCACCCCAAGGCCCAACTGTTTATAACCATAAAGCATAGCAGCCCACAGAAAAACTACAATCAACTTTTTTTTAAATAGTTTTCTTTGTTTCTTTTTCTCTTTTTTGTTTCTTTTTTGCTTACACTGAAAACATCTGAATTAGGGCCTGTAAAAGATCTGATTGTCCATTTCACTTCTAAAGATGTTAACAAACATAACAAAAAGGAGGAAAAAGAAAAAAATGTATATGTTGAGTGTGATTTGCAGATGCAGTCCATTACATTTTCACTGAAATTACTCTGTTGGCTTTCACACTGGAGTGACTGTTTGGTCTCTTTAGTTTTTTTGCCTTATTTGAAATAAACCTCACTCCACTCAGTGGGCTTTTGGATTAGCACCATCACTATCAACAATAATAATAAACATAACTAGATATCTGCTTCTTTGTCAGTTTATCAATTTGAGTTTAACTACTCAGGTCACAGATGCTTGGTCAGAAATCAAGCGCAGACCTTCACTATTATTTTAAGGCTCTTCTGTTGTTTTTATCAGCTGCAGCTTGAGCTGCAGGAACAATATGAGAGCAATGAGAGTCTGTTAAGCGTCAGAGGTTAAAACAGGCAGATTATACTGACAGTATACAGCGCTGATGTGCTGGTAGAAGAAGTCAGCTCTATTGATGAATTTCCCTCGTTTGATCGTAAAATGCTTTCCTACCAGCAGTGAACTGGACGGGGTTTGGTTAAAAGTGGACTGAGACCTGCGGGTTTTTGCCGGACCGGTTCAAGCTGTCTGGTGCAGACCCGAATACGGGTGGAGTGTTCACACACGTCAAAATGGAGCAAACTAAAGAAAAAAGTTTGATAGGTCCGCACCGAACAAGGTAGGAGAAAGCTCCCTGAGGAATGTCTCCATCTCTGGCTAACACAGCCCACAGGTTGAGAAACCCTGCACTAAGAGAACTCCATAAAGGTTAAAAGGTTAAAGATAAAATATTCGGAAATATTTAATTGGCTGATACTCAAGGTTTCATGATCAGTAAACAAGAAGTGATATCATGCAATGTCTAAAAGCAACACTTGCAAGGTTGTTTTACGGAATGTTAAGAAAAGTCTTATTCCACCTAATGAGTAACTGTAGCACACTACTCACTGTAGCTGTGTCACACTGTAATAATAGATCAGTGGTCACTACAACTGGACTAAAAAAATCACTTAGAAAAACACAAAAATACATAAACATTTAATATACAGCTCATTTAGCTCCCTCTCACAAATGCTGAGTGATGGGGTGACTCACCGATGAAGGGGAAAGATGAGGTGAAGATGAGGAACATGCCGTTGCTGTACAAGGTGAAGGTGACGGCAAAATACACAGATAAACTTCCCCACAGGAAAAAGTGATTCACCGCCGTCCAATAGTACGTGTCCAGACCAAGCTGAAATGTTCAGACAAAAATTGCAGATAAAGCGACACTCTGGCCAAAATGAAAGTTGTAAACATACTTAATCGCCTTTTGTTTAGAAAGTTTTGTTCAGAAAAACCCACTTATGATGATGTATCTTAATAGTGGGAGGAATTATTAAAAAAAAAAGAACAACTGCTTGGGAGTGGATTTTTTTTTCATCATCAGAAAAGAGAGAATTGATTACACAAATGACAAATGACTGAGCAGATGAAAAGAGCAAGCTAAGCTGACTATGTAGTTCAGAGCTGGGCAACATGACAATATTTATGTTTATTGTAATAAATTACATACCAATATGTCACAATAAGCATATTGTGAATATCGCCAGTGCCTAAAAATGACATGTTTTATTTAAAAGAGAGCCTATTTAGTCATGTTTAACTGGATTTAGTGTCATATACTATCTGGAACACTGAATACAAATCATTTTATTCATAGTTTTAGAGGTGGCACTCCTTTGCTAGTCACAACTTATCAGATGTCAGAAAAAATAAATATTGGGACATATCGTGAAAAGTGCTAGAAGTACTGCGATATTACATTTTTGCCATATCATTCACCTCTAATCTAGATAGGTTACCTCAGTTTGGTGTCTTTCCTCTGGCTGGAAAGGATAAAAACTTGACTCTGATGTTCATTTTGTGTTAAACAAAGACAGAATCGCTGTTGTTTTTCCACTAATGTTAGTTTGGTTGTATTTATTAGCCTGTAGCTAGCAGTCGGTATTGGTTGACAGAGATTCCCAAAGTTTGAATGATGTCCTTGAGTAATTCATAAACAAAAAGATGAAAATGACATTAACTCTGTTAAATTGATGAGGCTGAGGCATTTGATGCACTACAGAACACTGACAAATAATGTATTAAACTCTCGTTTTAGGTCAGAATGCTTCTTTAACTGCAGTACAACATTTGCAGCCAGGTCAATAAGATCTAGCAGCTGCCAATGACCATTGTGCAACTAGCAACATTCTCACTGGCTTTCTGATTTTTTTTAGGTTTTGATAAATGAATTGAAAGTCTTTTGTCTGCTTGTAAATGAAACACAAAAAAGCTAATCTCCATTTATCTCCAGTCTTCACCTACTCTACAGCTGTTACTGCAGTTTGTTTACTGCGATGGTCAGCAAGATTGATCTGAAGGTGGTGATTCATTTGTGTCAAATTTAGAATGTTATAATTGATAACAGTAATACTCATCAATAAGGTATGCACCTAATTAGTCCTGTTTAAGTGGATTTAGTGCCACATACTATGTGAAATATTGAATGTAAATCATTGTATTTATAGTTTTTTTAGAGGTGGCACTCCTTTGTTTGTTCCAACTTATCAGATGCCAGAAAAAATAACTATTGGGACATACTGTGCATTGGGAAAAGTTCTGGAAGTATTACATCTAATCTAGATAGGTTACCTCAGTTTGGCTTCTTTTCTCTGGCTGAAAGGGTTAAAAACTTGACTCTGATGTTTGTCTGCTTGCAAACGAAAAACAACAAAGCTAATCTCCTTTTACCTTCAGTGTTCACTTACTTTAAAGCTGTTACTGCAGCTTTAGTCTTTCCTTTAATATCTTCGTTTGTTACTCTTGTGTACTGCGATGTGATTAGAGGATTTTGGTCAGCGTGATTGATCTGAAGGTGCTGATTCATTTGCATCAAATTTTGAATGTTAGAATAGATAATAACTGATTACAATAATGCTCATCAATAAAGTATGTACACTATATGAAACTCATGGCTGGGAGGAATGTGTAAATGTGTGCACAACAACCTGAAAAAAATGCTTGATTTGCAGAAACTACTTACGCACTTATTTTACATGCACATTGGTGTAAACAAATGCTGCACCTATTCCATGTTCCCTTTAAAGACATTACACTGTGTGCTTGATGTTGGAATGCAAATGACATGTAAATTAGGTGCTGGTAGGATTGTGCTTCATTTCACGCACTGAAGCTCATTCATTTGCGCTCAAATCTCCGCTTGTTTCCACGTCGTATGAAAGTTACATGAATCAGACACAGAGTAGTTTGTGTCAATGTGAGGTCAGAGATTTATACACTGTTTACTGTATTTTAAAGGTGTCATTAAGGTCGTTTTTTATAGTTTTATTTCATATTTAATTTTTTACATAATTTTAAATCATATAGTCTTTCCTTTAATATCTTGAATTTAATATTAGCTTATATTTTTGTTTAATTCCTAGTTTAATCTTCTTCTGTTAACGCACCATTAGGATTGCTGTCCAATTTCGCTGTACTGTGCAATGACAATAAAGTATCTTGAACCTTGAATCTGCAGTTGAGGCTAGTGGTCAGTGTTATATATTAACTGAAGCCACTTACCTGCACGTTTACAACAACAAGCAGGCAGGTTTGGGCCAGCAGGGCGAAAGACTGGTAATCCGCGATGTCTTTGCCATCATCTCGGACAGTGTCTTGCATAGCAGCATAGGGGATGAAGAAAAGGATGAGGGAGCTGTAGCAGCTGTGCAGGAGGATCTTCACGAAGGCCATTTTACTGAAGTACTGATTTTGCTGCCCTGGGGCGTACAACTGGGGGTACTGCATACTCCAACGGTCATTTACATCCTGGACATTAAACATACACATGCATAAATATTTACATCTGTATCTCCAGTGTGCTTACATGCAGTTATGAAAAGGAAATTACAGATGTGCTTTGTTGTTTATTTGGAAAACATGTCTTTATGCTAATAGGCTATCTAAATCAATCAGTCAGGCTAAGGTATTAATTTAGCTGTACACATGTGGAGTCACAAGTCTACAACTGTTCACATGAACTGGAGGCACAAACCTGATCAAAGAGACTGAGGCCAATGACGGGTAATGCTGTGTAAACCAAGTTATACATTGTGATGAACCATTCGTCATACACCGTCTGTTTCAGCAGACAAGACAGTTAGCATTGAACAAATACTTTAGTTATTTTTCAAATATTTTTCATATTATAAGAAAATCTGGTTTCAGCTGATGTTTTCAAAAATGCAGTTAGCCACTAAATTCATTGCACACTTTACAGTGGAATAACCGTAAAATAGTCACCTGGGCAGAGAAGCCACAGAAGAATCCATACCAGAAGTGCACAAAGGTGAAGCTGAAGTTCTTGTAAAAGAAGTAACGCAGGAACTTGCACATGCGCAGGTAAGACCAGCGGCCATGGACCAGCAGGAGGCGCTGTAGGTATCGGAACTGAGCGAAGGAAAAATCGCTGGAAAGAACAGCCTGCATGCCCTCCTGACCACTGATACCCACTCCAATATGAGCAGCTAGACAAAGAAAGAAAGAAAGAAAGAAAGAAAGAAAGAAAGAAAGAAAGAAAAGAAAAAACAAACAAATAAACAAACAAAGTAATAAAGACAAAAAAAAGAAGAGGAAGGCAGGGAAGATGAAAAAAAGAAAGAAAGAAAGAAAGAAAGAAAGATAGAAGGAAGGACAGAGGGAGAGTGAGTGATAGCAAGAAAGAAAGAAAAAAGAAGAGGCAGACAGAAAGGAGAGAGAGGAACGGAGTGTGAGAGATGTAGTGAAAATGGAAGAAAGAAAGAAACAAACAAAGTAACAAAGAGAGAGGAAAGGAAGGAAAGAGATGGGATGAGAGTAAGTGAAAAAGTTAGAGAGATGGAGAGAGGGGAGCATAGAGTGTAAACGAGAGAGAGGGAGTGAGAACGAAAGAAAGAAAGAAAGAAAGAAAGAAAGAAAGAAAGAAAGAAAGAAAGAAAGAAAGAAACACTTTAGTGTATATGAAAAGACACATTTTCAGATTCTCAGCCTGTTTCTCTGTGTTGGTTATCGGGTTTTTTGGACACTCATCACAACCTAAAAAGTCAATAAATTCTTATTGCTGCTGTCAAAACAAAACCTTGTATCTCCCTTTGAGTTTTTGACATAATTTGAAAATGCCTGTTGCCCTTTACATTGTGTGTAAATTTCAGGATGAATGGGCCAAAAAAACGGCCCATAATGACTTAGAAAAAGGTTACACTGGTTACCAGTAGTTACATTAAAAGTAAAGTATGTTTTTCCTTCTCCTGTAAAGTTTTCATTTTGGAGATACAAGGAGATACATGAGTTTATCACTTGTGTTCTCTAATTTGTCAGTGCAACTTCCTTATTTTCCAGGATGGTCTGGAAAATAAGAAGGTATCATTAACTCAACATTTCTCTCCCTCCTTTTGTTCCTGATCCTCCCTCTGTGTCTCTGCTCATAGCCACACCCACCCTTGATCATGCTGACATCATTGGCTCCATCTCCGATGGCGAGGGTAACAGCTTTTTTGTACTTCTTGACCAGCTCGACCACCTGGGCTTTCTGCAGAGGAGTGACCCTGCAGCACATGACCGTCTGACACATACAGGCCGTCCGCAACAGTTCCAGCTGAAGGTCTTTCTGCAGACCATAGGCCTGGAGAAAAACAGAGAGATAAAGACAGAAAAGAGAGAGAGAGAGAGAAATAGAAAAACAGAAAAAGAGAGAGAAAGAGAGAAAAGGGAGAGAGAAAGGACAGAGAGAGAAGAAAAAGTCAGAGAGAGACAGAGGGAAAGTAAGAGAAAGAGAAAAGACAATGATAGAAAGAGAAAAAAAAACAGAAAAGCAAGAGAAGGAGAGAAAGAGAAAAGACAGAGAGAAAGGAAGACAGAGAGAAAGAAAGGGAAAAAGAGAGAAAAGACAGAGAGGTTCCAGTTTTTTCCTTCAAAAAAATGTAATGATCATTTAAAAAACTGCATTTTGTGTTTACTTTGGTTGTGATTTATGTTAAATTTTGTTCAAAGGTCTCAATAATAATAAATCTAAAACAATAATTCTTTCTTATTCTTTATTTTATTTATTGTATTTTTTTATTTGTCCTTTAGAGAAATACAAATCATTTAAACCCTATATTTATTTGAAAATAGTACAAAGACAACAAATCAAATGCTAAAACTGAGAAATCTTATTGTTTTTTGAAAAATATATGCCCATTTTTCGAATTTGACGCCAGCAGCAGATTCCAAAAAAGTTGGGATGGGGGCATGTTTACTACTGTGTTTCATCACCTCTTCTTTTAACAACACTCTGTAAGCATTTGGGAACTGAGGAGACCAACTGCTGTAGTTTTGAAAGTGAAATGTTTTCTTGTTCTTGTTTGATATAGAATTTCACCTGCTCAACAGTTTGAGGTCAGCTTTGTCATATTTGTCATTTCATAAAGTGCCACATGTCTTCAGTGGTGACAGGTCTGGACTGCAGGCAGGCCAGTTTATCACACTAACTTTTTTACTATAGAGCTATGCTGTTGTAATATGTGCAGAATGTGGTTTGACATCTTGCTGAAATAATCAAGGCCTTCCCTGAAAAAGACGTTGTCTGGATGGCAGCATATGTTGCCAGAACCTGTATATATCATTCAGCATTAATGGTGCCTTCACAGATGTGCACGTCACCCATGCCATATGCACTAATGCACCCCTATACAATCATGAATACTGGATTTGGACTGTGCACTGATAACAAGCTGAGTGGTCTTTAGCCCGGAGGACACAGCGTCCATGATTTCCAAAAAGAATTGAAAATTTTGATTTGTCGGGCCACAGGACACTTTTCCACTTCACCTCAGTCCATCTTGAATGAGATTGGGCCTAGAGAAGATGGCAGCATTTCTGGGTCCTGTTTATATATGATTTCTTTTTTGCATGGTAGAGTTTTAAATTGCATTCAAAGATACAGTGATGAACTGTGTTCACAGACAGTGGTTTTCAGAAGTTTTTCTGAGCCCATGCAGTGATTTACACTACAGAATCATGTCTGTTTTTAATGCAGTGCAGTGAACTCCTCGTCATCTTTACTTCTGAAAGACTCTCTGCGATACTCTTTTTCTACCCAGTGATGTTACAAAGAATTATATATATATATATATATATATATATAAATTTCTCAGTTTCAACATTTGATAAGCTGTCTTTGTCTACCATTTTCAAATAAATATAGGGTTTAAATGATTTGCACATTATTGCATTTTGTTCTCATTTACATTTTGCACAGAGTCACAACTTTTTGGGGAATGGGGTTGTATTTATTACCAGTCTATGTGCTTGTCTGGTCTGTTTAGTATATTATATGTCATACATGTGTTCACTCACCAAGACTAATTCCTTGTGTGTGTAACATACTTGGCAAAATAAAGTGATTCTAACTCTAATTCTGATTAGGTGTAACTAATATGCAAAAACAGAAGAAACCTGGAGGGGGCAAATACTTACGGTACTGAAACAACACCAGCTACTTAACTGTAGGCTACCGTCAAAGCCTCTTAACTACCACATTTGCCAAAGCTTGCCTGCTTAAATCGGGTATTTTGGTGATTTGGCTCAATGCGCAGCAGCGTTAGCTTGCATGTAGCAATAGTCGTCTGTTGACTTCTTGACAACCTCATAATTCAGAGGATCCAGTTACGTTCAAGAAGCAAATGTACACAGAACAAAGCATATCGGCTTTGACCCAGACTTTCTTATTTGGGCATCTATCTACAAAGTGACGAAATATCGAGAGCTATACTCACCAAGCTGTGTCCATTAATCACCAGCCCATACTCTCCGTTCGATTTTTCATCCAGCACCACCTGAGATTTTTTACCCCTAAGTTTGCTCTTTAGAAAGGGAGGCTCCTCTGGTGAATCAGGCGACATCTTTTTTCTGGCATTCCTAAACATTATTGGGAGAGATGATGTCAGTGGCAAATCATGATGCCAACTCAATATCAAAAGGAAGTTTCAGTAAGTATATCACTAATAATTTATTACAGAAGCAGCATTAATAGGTTGTTGTGTTGAAAGAATCACATTTTGATATCTAGTGTTCTATTTGTCTAAGTTCACTCATGTCACTCCACTGCTGCGCTCCATTCGCTGGCTTCCTGTAGCTGCCTGCATCAGATTTAAAACCCTGATGCCTACAAAGCCAAAAATGGACCAGCCCCTCACTACCTAATGGCAATGGTCAAAACTCAAACTGTGCCTCAAGCCCTTCGAGCTTCAAGTACAGCTCAGCTTGACCCGCCATCCTTCAAGACTCATGGAAGACAAGGATCACGACTCTTCCCAGTCCTGGCACCCAAGTGATGGAACAAACTCCCACTGGCTGTCTGAACAGTAGACTCTCTCATGGTCTTCAAATGCAGACTGAAGACACTTCTCTTTTTACAGCACTTAAGTGAGCACTAAGTTAAGTATGTATTGTAATGTATTGTATTGCACTTATTGAAATGTATTACACTATGTCTAACTACTGTTTCCTATAGGCTATTGTTTCTATCCATATCTGAGCTTGGGAGTAGCCTTACTGTAACCTATTTGTACTGGCAAAGATACATTTTCTGAGCAGACAACAAAGCACTTTTGTATGTCGCTCTAGATAAGAGCGTCTGCTAAATGCTGTAAATGTATTTATCTTCAGAATCTTATTTCAGGTCACGCTCTACTGCTGCCTCACTCTCATTGGTAACAAAAGTCATGTAATTATGATTCCAACTTAAGGTGACAGTAAGGGAGGGGCGAGACACTCACACTAGCTCTTCTCTCACGCCCTCTGCTGTATCGGCTGCTATGATGAACACCTCTGTCATCTCTTCTCGAAGCATGTTGCAGGAATAGCCAATATTCTCAGCCGTTTCTACACAATAACAGAATGGTCATGTCAATACAGAGTTATGCATTTTCTCACATTTTATACAATCAAACTTAAGTCCTGAAGGCCAAGAGTGTTGTTAAGAAGATGATGTACATGCCTTTAACAACAACCGTAACAAAAAAAAAAGGTGCCCCAAAAACTGAGCACTGCCAGAGAAAAGCCACATTTGGTTTCCCAGAGAATCATACCTGAAAAATTGGAGTTATGAATGTGGAAAACCTTTTAAAGGTTTAGAAAAGCTTCACATAATATGAAGGTCTTATACCAATTTAAAGTTGCAAGATAATTTTGTTAAAACTGAAAGAACTATAATTAATAAGTCAGAAGAATAAAAACACTCTAAAATACAGTGAGTGTGCACTTCTGCGAGCCTGAAATGATAATTTAAGCCCTTGAACCCATAGCCTGCATTTTGCGGTCAAATGCATAGTTGAATCCTAGCCTTTACAACTTCAGAATTTGAGCTGAGCATCAGCGAGTAATCTGGCTCAAAAAACAACAAAAATCCAAATGTTATTGCTCTGCTTTTAGCCTTCATATTCCAACAAAGGGTCAAAACAATTACATGTATCACAGATCACAGCACTCAGCAGACTGTGCCTTCACCATTTAGAATAATTTCATCCACCTGTGACCATCTATCAGCCAACAATCCAGCTCCAAAGTCACCCAAACCACACTTGCTACTGTTATATATCTCTGATTTTGGCCTTTATATTATAAACAAAGGGTTAAAAAAAGGCGACATAATTCACACATCGGATCACTCAGCAGAACCTGTTTTTACTAGCCATAGTAAGAGAAACCAGCTTTAACCATTCCACAATCCAGAAATACAGCACCAAACAGACAGATCCACTGTATAACCTGCTATTAGCTCTCCACTTTAGCCTTCATATGGCAACAAAAGGAGGTCAGAGGCATTAGGTCAAGTTTATTAGACCATGTTGTAAATCGTTACATATTAACATCACACGCACAGGCTTACAAAGAAGGTCCAGCTCTATGTTTAGGTCTTAAATGCAAAATCAACATCATACTGATTAAGATATGATGACAATAGTAGATAATTCACTCACATCCTCAGAAGACGGATCCTTCACTAAGTTTCGACTGAGTTCTCTTTGAATTCTCTTTCAATCATCAGATTCATCCACTCGGGAAAGGGGGATGAAGCATAACCCATGATACAAAATGTTCTTGTGCACATTGCATGCAATTACACATTTCCACCAGAGAGGTCCCCAAATTCTCAGAACTTACATAGTGTGGCTTTAAGACATACTAAATTTCTTGCACATTTTATCTGGACTTACTGATGCAAAGCACTGCTCTTATGAAGCATCAAAAGGTAACTGACTGCTGGTAGCATCCCCTTGTGGAGAAGTTTCAGCCTGCCACATGTCAAGCCACTTCTATGAGGTCCTTTGAAGTGCATGTGCGCATGAGGTGCATGTGAAAATGGCTTTCTAAAGAACTATCTATTGTTACATTACTATACTACTCACTACTTTTATTACGAAATTACAATTTAAAAGAGTGTAAATGTCAAATCACAAGAGCTGCCACTTCAATTACAGCCTATACTATCAACACAAGTTTTAAATAGAAAATTTAACCGAGTAACATGAACTACCAGTCCAGCACAAGTCTCAAGCCAGAAAAGGCTGCTCTGGTCTTCTTGGCCAAAATAACAGGCCTAATTTGTAAAAATCGCAGTTTAAACTTGCATTTAAAATATTGGCCAGAAAAAAATTATGGTAGCAATTAGATACTTCCCCTAAATTTTTCAGCTTCATCCATTCAAAGGTTTTCAGGGAACCAAAAGTGGTTCTTCTATGGCATCATACAAAGGAACTGTTTTAGACATGATTACTTTTTAGAGTGTAGGCATCAATTACAGTGTCACAATGGCCAGTTAGTAGGTGATTATTAGAATTGAGCACCAGTTTCAGATGGAAGTATATTTTCCAAATGATTAAGCTGGCAGGAGACCGCAACTAAAATAATTTTATTTAACCCTACACTCTTAAAAAAGATGGTTCTTCAAGGGTTCTTTAGTAAAGAAAATGATTCTATAGAACCACAAACACTCAAAGAAACTTTTGCATGAATAAAGGGTGCCTTGCTTAACAAAAGATCTCTTTATTGATTGATGCAAAGTGTGCTGTAGATGGTTCTATATATAAACCTTTTGAAAATAGTTCTTTATAACACTAAAAAGGTTATTCTAATGTTATGACGTCAAGCTTGTAACAATAGAAGAACCCTTTTGGGTGCTATATAGAACGCTTTTCAAAAAGGTTCTAGGTAGAAACATATATAGCAAATTCATGCACATTTTCTAAACGCTTTCATTCTGAAGAACCCTTTCATAATGCAAAGAATACTTTAAACATGCAAATAGTTGAGTGTTCATGGTTTTATCTAGAACCATTTTCTTTACTTCTTTTTTAAGAAATTAGTTCTAACAAGCTTAAATTGTTACACTAACATTAAATAAACATAGCTCATTTTCACTGTGGTCCCCGGGCAGGCAGAAAAACACAAAAGCACTAACCGAGAAACAACATGAATGATTCATGCAGCAATTCTTTTTAAGCAATGGCAAATGTAGTAGTCTGACCCTGTTTGTCACCAGTTAAGACCCAAATCTTGATGTCAGCCTTGGCGAGTTGCTCGATGGTCTGAGGAACCCCATCCTGCAGCTTGTCCTCCACTGCAGTCGCCCCTATGAGCTATTCACAAACCCACACCAATCTGTCAGTAATTTCAGGCAAAAACATACTGATGATCGTATAAAGTATGAAATGTAATGAAATGTATAACCAGATGAAATGTATAACAATTTGTAAATACTAACTAGCTTAACTGGTACCAAAACATGGATTATTGTTTTTTACTGAAATAACATAAATTTCAAACATGAGCCTCTACCATAAGGTCCTTTTCAATTTCTTCATATATGGCATCTAGTTTTTCCTCACGGTCCTCCAGTGCAGTGCTGGCTTCATGGTGGCGCTCTCTCCATATCTCAAACTCTGCTTCATCCAAGTCCTTATAAGCCAGAGCCAGAGTCCGCAAACCTTCACCAGCATACTCCTAGACAGTCATACATACAGCAAGTAAATGTACAGTGCTGTATTTTTTAGTCATACAAAGCTTCATGAAGAGTTGATGTTCTCCAGCCAACTGTGTTGCAAAGTGGTTCATTTCTGGAGGGTTCAAGTGTCCACTAGACACCCCTAGTGGTTAATATAATATAAGCCTATGAAACCTCCCAGCTAGAAAAATATGTTGTGTTTTGGATGCTGGTATGCTTGTCATCCAGCAGCCCTACACCCTACTGAAGTTTTAATCAAAACCTAAACTTGAACTTCAAATGATATATGGTTCAAATCATAATGTGGGCAGATATTTAGCTCCATTTTCTGCTTTTCTTTCTATAATGTCATCAGACCAGTGGTCTCCCACCCTGGTCCTGGAGATCTACCTTCCAGCAGAGCATAGTTCCAACCAAAATTTGCTACACCTGTTCCAGCTAATCAACCTCTTCCCATGTCCCTGATTGTTATACATGGAAGTGTTGAAGGTAAAAGAGAAAGAGGACAACCAGCAACAAAATGCATGGATATAATTTTTAAAAAACCATGAACAAGCCATTCAGGAGCCTGAGGACCCAAACAAAATTTAAGAATAATCCTATCCACAAGGTCACCCAGAATCAGAAACAACTTGATAGCACTTAACGCTCTGGGGTCTAAGGGCATTTTTTTCGATTTTCACATATCTTCTTCAATTTGCCTTTAAAGGCACTTGCATGTAATATGATATCCATATGTTTCAAAACAAAATACAAAGTTATCCAATTTTACATGTATCTCTAATGTCAACTCAATGAAAATTGAAGGGTATCTGAAGTGATGGGTCAGTCCTTAGTGATTCTTAAGTGTCCACCGATGGTGTCCATTTTTCACACAAAATGTAAACAGACACACCAATTTAGCAATTACACACAGTGTATTTCAACCCTTATTCATAGCCTCATAACTCCAGATGTGATTCATGTACAATCTTGCAAATAAGATGCAGTCGAAGGGGAGAGTCTACAGATTCAGGACATTTTGAACTGTATTTCTGTGCGGTATTATTGCATTACAAGACCCCATACATCTAGTACTTTGAATACTCTCATTTTGCAAGGACACAGATACTGAGCCTTATCCAGCCATACTCTCTGTAATAGGAGAACCCATCTGACGGCATTTGTCGCAAGCCCCAAAAAAAGGTTACCTTAACAATCTATAAGAAGCAGACAGAGCAGAGAACACTGCACATATTAAGTTGGCATGGTTCTATCTCTTTTGATGTCGTGTTTGCCAGTGTTGAGCTGAATTCCGTCTCGCCAGTAGTATCTGACTCCCCTTCACATGCACATGCATCACCTGGGCACATGGACACTCGCGATGTTGGTTGTTTGCACATAGAAACATCCAAAATCATGAGTGCAATATGTAAAGTGTATATGCCTGCATGATGTGCATGCACACACAGGGGAGTCAAATTCTGTATCTTTCAGCTTGTCAACAAATACATGTGTATAGCTGTGTATGAGGGCTCGCAGCACGATTTGTATTTACATCAGTGGTGTAACTAAACTAGACTTTAGTTGTTTACAATTTAGAGAAAAATTACAGGATTTTATTACATGAGGTTACAAACATTTAAGGCTTATTTGGCGTGAGAGTCACAAAAGCTGACAAACTATGAAGCTTTGGACAGTTTTAATTCATGTATGAATGAACAGTGGAAGCCGTGAGATGCGGATTTATACAATCCAATGGCTAATAAACTTCTCAATTGAAACACTGCCAGCATGTGTGCGAGTCACTGGTTAGCATCAACTCAATGTGCTTCAGGTGCTATCTGCATATTTCTCATCACCAAAGCCCACCGCTATCATTTTTGGAGAGAAAATTGAAGCAAGACTGACTCCAAGTGTTAAAAGGGTCGCTGCTTGCATGATCCAAGACTAAATATGTATAAAACATGGTTGAACAGTAAGACTGTTTTAAGACACCTATTACAACGATGTTACACCAAACAAATAAGATGATGCAAGAGTGACGCAACTCTAGAAGGATATATAATGGTTTTAATCCAACCTTGGGAATTTGCCTGTGACAGTGAAAACACTGTAGCACGGTATGTGCTACCCCGGGCTCAAGGAGGACGCTGGAGGCAGGGTTGCAGCAGCCATCTCTTTAATTACTCAAATAAAACACCAAACAGACAAAACCAACAATACAAAGAACCTAAGCTGGCCACTCTTCAGTGGCTTCAGTCCCTTTATCCTCAATAAGGAGCTTTCCAGCTCCTCAGTCTCTTGTTGCTGCTGCGTGTCCCCCTCTCTCTCTCTCTCTCTGTTCCCTCTCAGCTCTTTTAAAAGGCGCTCACGCTGCCCGCCAGATCAGCATCAGAGCACCTGAGCCGAGAGGGAACGAGAGCTCGCTGCTCCGCCTCCTCGTCACCGCCCCCAGCTGGCGGCTCAGCCGCCAGGGACGAAGGTGAGGTGTAGTGGCGCGGCCTCACTGCGTAACAGGGGGCGGGGCCCAGGCGGCGGAGCTCGGGACTCGCTCCTTCCCCTGGTGCCTTACCGGCACCGTCGTCGTCTTCCTCCTCCCGCCGTCACTCGCGCCACTCTGAAGAGCTCGGGCTTTTCGCTCCGCCCCCTCCACACTCGCGGCTCTCTTCCTGCAGCCCTGGCCGAGGTTCGTCGCCGCTGGGTGTTCGGGCCCCGCCTTCCTGCCGACTCTCGCGGCCGTCATCGTCGGGGCCCGGGGGGCGGGCGCATGCCACACACTGATTGGTGTTGACATGAGGAAAAACTTTCCACGACTTTTTCAAACGTCTTCCAGCTTAGCATACGGTTAGCATTAATAAGCATGCGTGCTCACGAGGAAAAGATTCGTAATCAATATAAGATACAAATACGTATTGTGTATACTTCGATCTCAGTAAATGTAAAGCAATTGTTAACCTCCACGTTCATTTCAAAAAGCTGTATTTCTAAAAAGCTAATCAGTCACAGCTGAACAGAGTTCCATGTAACCATGTGACGTTGCCTCATGGCAGGTGATTGCGTGCCTTTAAAAGCCCTCACACAAGTTGTGATGATTTATGTGTTTGGATTTGTGCTTTCAGTTTGGTGAAACAGTGTGCATGGGTGATTGCTTGTCCTCACTGACTCAGATTTTGGGACATGGAGTGGTGGAGGAAAAGGTAATAATCTGACTTGTGTGATTCCCAAGGTCATTCTGTGTGTTTAATAACCATACAATGAGTTACTTTTTTTGTTTTACAGGCTCTATTTAATTTTCATCACATTGCTTCTCTGGGAAAATGCTAGTGGAATTGGGGGTAAGAAAGAGAGAGAAAAGAGATTTTTATTTTAATGACAGTTATTAGTCACTTTGATCTCATCGCTTGTTTTTTCTTTCCCTTAGTTTGGAATGGAAGACCTGCTCAATACTGGCAAACTTTTGACTTGATAGCACCTGGAGATCAGCCTCTTCTCTTTGTCCAACAAGACTCCAGTGTTGCTGCAAATGGAGTCCAATCTGTAGACGTTCCAGCCACAAATGTTGGAAGCTTGAGAAATCCAAACACGAGGCTTGTTGGCTTGAGCCAAAATGTTCAGGGTGTTGCTGCCAGCAGTGATGAGCTCAGCTCTGATGTCCAGAGTGCTGCAAGTGGTTCTGTTCCTACTCGGCCTCTAAGTTCTTCTGGTAGTGGAGAGGCTCTAGGGAATGCTCAGGGTTTCAGAGCTCAACAAGTCTACAGACAATATGCACCGTCTCCCCAGCCTCAGGAAGCCTACACGGCCCAATCTACAAGGTCTTCCAATTATGCCTCTTCTATGAGACTAAGCCCATCTGGCCTTGTCCCTGTGAAGCCTCAAAGCCCCACAAACCTAGTTGTCCCTGGGCTTCAGACTCAGCAGTTTAGTAGGCCTGTGTCACCATCCCAGAGTTTAGCAAGTGATGCTCCAATCTCCCAGCAAAGCGGCTACGCCGTTGGGCCTAGCTGGTACGCTTCGCAGAGACCGGGCACTCCATCAGCTAGCCAGCCAAGGCAGGACGTTCCTGTGTTTCAGACCCAACCAAACAAGCCCATCCCTCAAGCTTCCTGGGACACTACTACATCTGTGGCACAAGGCAGCTATGGGCCTCAACCCATGGGATCTTCTAGCTGGTCCACCTCTTCGGGAAGGCAGAGCATTCTATCGCCCTCTCAGTCTCAAAGCACGCCAAGCCAGTATGCCCCTGGATCTTTGACCCAGCTCACGTCCCCATCCCAGACTTCGTCCTCGTGGTCTGACACCCCGCGCCAGGTGCCTGACGTCCAAACCCAGCCGTTGTACAGGCCTGTGCTCCCATCACAGACTTTAGCAAGTCCATACACGTCTCCCTCTCAAACTCAAGCCAGGGCTGACCCTTCAGGACGAGCTCAGTGGTATAAGGTTGATCTTTCCCAAGTCCAGGCTTGGCAGTCCAATAAGCCTTTGTCCCCACCCCAGAGTTTAGGGAGTCAGTATGACCAGGCAGCTCCAAGCAACTATCCCTCTGTGTCTCAAAGCCAAAGCGCCCTAGGCACTTGGGGATTTGTCTCTCCAGGCCAAAGCGCTCCAACCTCACCTGCAACCTTGACCCAGAGTGGTGTCGGCTCTCCAGCCTTCCAAACCTCCAACAGCTTCTCCACAACATCCCAGCATGCTGTCGGTCCCTCGGCCTCTGTGTCCGAGCCATCCCGCAGGGCCCAAACCTCAACGGCTTGGAGAACCCCGACTGTGTCTTCGTCCCTTGGCCAAACTTCCCCTGGAACTGCTGCATCTGTAGCCACAAGCCAACAGTTCCCCAGTACTGCATTGGTGCCACAAAGCATCAGCTATTATGCTGCTCTGCAGTCTCAAGCTGCAAGCCCCTGGCAGACTCCTGGAAACTACCGCCCTGTGCTTCAGAGTGGTGCACCCCTGGGAGGACGCTTTGACCAGTACAGCCCAGTAAGTAATGTCCCAGCCTCCACGTCTGCTCAAGGTGCCC